ACCCTCTGGATGCGACCATCCAGCCAGTTCCTTATCCACCGAACAGTCCACCCATCAAATCCATAGCTCTCCAATTTAGAGAGAAGGATGTTGTGGGGGACCGTGTCAAAGGCTTTGCAGAAGTCCAGATAGATGACGTCTGTTGGTTTTCCCTTGTCCACTGATGCTGTCACTCCATCATAGAAAGCCACTAGGTTCGTCAGGCAGGACTTGCCCTTGGTGAAGCCATGCTGGCTATCTCGAATTACCTCCCTGGCCTCCATGTGCCTTAGCATAGCTTCTAGGAGGATCTGTTCCATGATCTTCCCAGCAACCCATCGCTCCAGGAGCTGACCATTCCCTGACAGGCTGCCGAGGTGTCCCAGGTGAAGGGGGAGCGTACGGGCACTGAGCCCTGTAGCAGACTCACTCCCGGGACTTCTCACATACGTGAATGAATGCACGCTTGCTGTTATGGTTGTGTGAGCAGTGCCTTTGTGGGGGGGTGAGTGGCTCCCACCGAGGGCCAGCTCCTCACAGCTCTGCGGGCTGTAATTTTGCTCTGCCTTTATGTTCTGCTTGCAGAAAAATGAATGCTGTCTTTTACTAAAAATCGTACGCCAGCCTCTCTAATGGAGCACCGTAAGACATAGCACTGTCTGTACTCTTTCTCCTAGGGTGTAAGCCAATGTTCAGTATCGGGAAGACATGGTACGACAAGAGTTAATAGCAGAAGTGGTCAGCAATGACAGAAGCAGGTTGTGCTCACACAGGCAGTGACTGTAGAAAATGGCGTGGCGTGTTTTCATTGAATCCATCGGGGCAGGAGGACAAGGAACAGTTGCACAGATGAGGCGCTGTGGTGGGAATAATGCAAATTGCAGAAACAGCCTCAAATGTGTCTCATTTGTGCTTATGAGGGCCTCCATTACCTGTACATCATGATGGCAGCAACCCCATGTTCCCCACCACAGGGCTTCTCCACAGCTCCCTGCTCTTCCAAAGCAGCTGGAAGCTCTCTGGGTAAAGCAGCTTCTTCCACAGAGACAAATCACTTGCAACCAAATCTTCTCAGCTTGCAGAGCCCTGAGTGGTTCCTGGGCAGAGCTCTGGACAGCTTCAGTTGCATGTGCTCTTCCTGATCATCTCCAGCGTGTCCCATGGGAGCAGTCCTTACGTTATAACAGGTCCATGGTGACCTATATGAAAACCCACATATGTTTCTGAAGCTGCTTGCTTTTCTGGTTGTTGTTCTTCACTTGCAATTGAGACCCTTAAATTAAAAGAAAAATCTGAGATCCCCAATAGGACTTATTTTGTGACCTCTTTGAGCTTGCTTGCTTTATAGAAAGGTGCTCGCTCAGGTACACCAGGATGAACCTGCTATTTCTATGGCGTTTCATAGAGGAGATAGGAAATGTATGTGACTTTTTGTTTAGAATTATGAATTCGTACTTCATGTGGGTCAGGATCCTGATGGCAACAATCATAGAAGCCCTTTAAGCTCCCCCAGCCCAGCCGTTCCCCTACCCCTGCCATCCCACCCCCAAACCCCGGCCCTCAGCACCGCCTCTGCCCGGCTGTTAAATCCCCCCAGGGGTGGGGACTCGACCCCTTCCCTGGGCAGCCCCTTCCAGTGTCTGACAGCCCTTTGGGGAAGGAATTGTTCCCCATGGCCAACCTCACCCTGCCCTGGCACAACTTGAGGCCGTTGCCCCTTGTCCTAAACAATAGGTCATGGTGGCCCTGATCAGCCTCACCTGGTGTCTTCTTGCCCTGCCCATGTGCCCACTCCCATGGACTAGGCCCCCCCATTTTAAGGGGCCTTTAGGCCATCCCAGGTACTGTAGGTGTGCCTGGCTGCATCTGTCTCTTGGATGGACCCTGGACCTGTGCTGTAGATAGTTTTATTCCTGGATGGGCAAATGTATGTACATTGTGTTTTGTCTCCAGCCATATCTCCTTTTGTTTCTGACTGGACCCCCTGGATGAGCCCTGCATCTGGTTCATCATCTGCTGTGGCTGTTGACGGACCTCTTGTGACATCCCAAGCACTCCTTGCAAGCCGTTGAGTGACTTCTGCCAACCAGCAGTTGTTGGCCAGGGGCAGCTGGTGGTGGTGTGATGCCAGCTCTGATATCCTTCAACTCCAGTGGTAACTTCTCTACCAAGTGAGTGGAGGACTGGGAAGGTGTACACCAACCCATAAACTCTCCAACCACCAGCTTCAGGGTGTGGAGTAGTTGTGACAAACTAAGCTGCTTTAGAAGTGCTCATTGCCTTTAACAAAGAGGAAAGTTTACTTCTCCTTAGTGTCTGTGAAGTTGTCCCCTGTGGACTTGTTAGGAAGAATGGGGTATGCTTACTATGAGCTCTCTGAGAAGGTTTCAAGACCATAAGAGACTTCTTCATGATGCCCAGAAGGGCTTGTTAAGCTGATGACTCCTGGGTGGCTGGCCCCCAGGCGGAGTTCCTTGTTTTGGGAAGGGAAGAAGTATAATTTGTGACGGAAATAGATTTAATGACTTGGATGATGTTGAAGGTCAGGCCTTCAAGAGGTTTCCAGTGGGTCATGTTGTGACTATCGCCTCCCCCCACTGCTAGACCAGGCCTCTTATTTAGTCTCGTTAAGGGTTAAGAAATCTCCTGTTCTCCCTACATTTACAGTTCCTACATGTTTGTTTGCCTTCACTAATCAGATACTTTACCTTTGCTTTGTCTTCCTTATCTTTCACTCACGGGAAGAATATTTTTTAAAGAGTAGAGAGTCCTTTAGGTGTGGTGGGAGCCTGAGCTGGTCTAGCAAAAGGCTGGTGTCTGGCTCTGGCTACACTTCCACTTTTCTGGCTTACTCTGCACTAAATAGCTTTGCATTTATCTGTGTATTTACCTGCTGAAGGTTTCACCTAGCCAAGGGGCTCTGCAGGAGGTGCAGGCTTCTCCAGTACAGAGCCCACTGAGTCCAAACTCAATTCTGGGCTTGCTCAGCTGACATAATTCAAGGCTAACCAATGCTCCTGGTAGGTG